CCGGGGCATAGCGGGTGGTGCGGAGGTCAACCCGCCCCGTGTGCCGGGGCCGGGGGCGCAGACAGCCCCGAGAGGCAGCGAGGCACCGGCGGCCAAATTCCGTGACTCATAGAGTGAAGGCACCGGAGCCGGCAGCGCCGTGCTGCATGCGGGATGTGCCAGCCCGGGGCTCAGCCCGCCGCTGCCAAACGCTGAGGGAGCCGCTGGTGTGCCGCAGACCCCGCAGACCCCGCAGCACCGTTCATCAGCCTGCAGAGCCCCCCAGCACCGTTTCCCTGCCCGCAGACCCCGCCAGCACCTTTTATCAGCCTGGCAGCTCCACGTCCCTACCTGTGGGTGGAGGGGAATGAAGCTGCACCGGGCGCGGGTGCGGGTGCCAGAACGGGCCCAGAGGGGGAACATTCCCCAGTGCCGGCGTTGGGCAGAGCAGGGGTAAGAAGCTTGGCTGTCCCCTCATCCAGCAGGTCCCTTGCTGGGCTGCATGGTGTGGAACAGCTGTGCCCGCAGCGAGGCAGCACACGGGGCTGAGGACCTGTGATGTGAATGTGGAGTGAAGGCTGGCACCCAGCACTGGTTCCCCACAGCTCCAGGACACAGCCCCCAGCAGGGGCTGGGATCAGCCCCCTGAGAGCTGGCAGCCCCCGTGTAGTGGGGCTGGCCACTCCCTGGGACAAGTGCCTGGTTCGTGCCACACTGGCAGCTCACTCACTGCTGACACACCAGGGCCCTCCTGCATCCCAGACAGAGCTGCAAGCTCCTGCCTTCCACAGCCTCCCACTGGCAGTGCCCAACCCCAGGTTGGAGGGGCCTGGACTGAGCCCCACAATATCCACAGTGCCTGAGGTCCCCCCAGACACTGGTGCTAGACATGCAGAGACACAGTTCCAGCTCTCACCCCTCCTGAACCCTCCCTTTGGTGTCTGGCCCTGCACCAAGCACACCAGGACCCCCAAGAGGATCCTGTACCCTGGGTGCAGCTCACCCTGTCCCATTGCAACCAAGGCACGATCACACCCCATCAAACAGCCACAGTGGGACCTGGTGACCCCCTACGCCAGATCCTTATCCCTATTCAACAGCCAGGGTAGCCCCAGCAAGATGTCAGCACCATGGCTGCACACTCGGCTCCTCAAGCACAGGCAGAGAGTGAAGCCATTGCTCTGCCACTGCCCCAAACACACCAGGGCCCTCCTGCATCCCAGACAGAGCTGCAAGCTCCTGCCTTCCACAGCCTCCCACTGGCAGTGCCCAACCCCAGGTTGGAGGGGCCTGGACTGAGCCCCACAATATCCACAGTGCCTGAGGTCCCCCCAGACACTGGTGCTAGACATGCAGAGACACAGTTCCAGCTCTCACCCCTCCTGAACCCTCCCTTTGGTGTCTGGCCCTGCACCAAGCACACCAGGACCCCCAAGAGGATCCTGTACCCTGGGTGCAGCTCACCCTGTCCCATTGCAACCAAGGCACGATCACACCCCATCAAACAGCCACAGTGGGACCTGGTGACCCCCTACGCCAGATCCTTATCCCTATTCAACAGCCAGGGTAGCCCCAGCAAGATGTCAGCACCATGGCTGCACACTCGGCTCCTCAAGCACAGGCAGAGAGTGAAGCCATTGCTCTGCCACTGCCCCAAGACCCGATTCTGGGTCCCCACCTAGGGGATGGGGGGGCCTGCCAGCAGCTCAGCAAGCACAAGAACAATTGGCCTGAAACCACCCCTGAGCAGCCCCCAGCGGGGGACCAGCCACAAGCACGAGTATCACAAGAATCAGGAGGTGAAAATGCCATTTATTGGGTGTCCAACTGCCAGTGGCAGAGCTCAAGTCCCCAGGGGCAGCAGTGGGGCTGGGGCCAGCAGCGCTGACCCCAGATCCAAGTAGCACTGCTGGCACACAGCCCACACCACTACCCACTGCTCCTGCTCCTCAGCCTCCCGGGGTCCCCCGCTGGGGAAAGATGGACCAAGGTGGTAGTGGGGACGTGGGCTGGGTGAAGAGCAAGTATGGAGGGAGAAGTGCATCAAGGGGCAGAGCTGTCCCAAAGCATGGTGGGCTGCTGGGCTCAGAGCAGCCCTGGACATCGGCCCATTTCCAGGACGACCTGTCACCATCTTCTCTTGTGACCAGTGAGGGTCATGGCTGCAAGTGATGGGTCCCCCGAGAAGAGGATGGGTGACGCTGAGTATCTCGTCCCCCCACAGCCATAGGTGCCAGTTCCAAGACCTCCCGATGTGGGGTGAAGTCAGGCAGCAGGGGGACAGGGGGGATATGGTTCCCCCCTCACATCAGATTTGCTTTCCAGGAGAGGTAGCAGTTCCAGATGATGGCAACACACTGGACAACAGCCAGCCTGGGGACAGAGGGGATAAGGGTGCACAGCCACAGGCTTCCAGAGACAGGGAGCTGGGGTAACTGCCATGTTAATACCTGTGCTTCAGGGGCACGAAGTAGAAATTTGCGACTTGCACCGGTGGCCAGATCTGGGCAGGGAAGAAGACAGTGGTGAGAGGCCCAGCTGGCCACCCCGTCCTGTGCCCACCCCTGCCCAGGCATTCAGGGCATCCGGTGAGCCCACAGCAGCCCCTGAGGTGAGAACAGGGGTGCAGAGGACCCTGGCCAGTCACCCCAGCACAGCACTGGGGCAGGGGTGTGTGGCCTCGGTGGTCACTGCCACCAGCACTTACGCAGTAGTTGGTCAGCAGAGCGTCCATGTAGTCCTGGGAGAGAAGGGAGGCCATGAGCACCTGGAGCCATCCCACTGCCACTGACCCACCGCGGGCACCAGCCCTGCCACACAGCCGGCCACAGTGGGAGAGGCTGGGGGAGGGGCGCTTGGGGCCCCGCGCCGAGCAGCCTGGTGGCTGTGCCGCAGCCCTGCCCCAAGGCCACAGAACAAGTCCCTTGTCCCGCCTGACTGTGACTCAGCCCAAGCCCAGCCCACTCCGGTGCTGGCCGGCAGCCGAGGACCGGGAGAGCTGGATGCTCTGCTGACGCTTCCTCTGCCTGGGGAGGGATGGATGCATCCCAAACCGGGGGTGAAGGTGCTTCCAGCAACCACTGCCTGGCTCCCAGCCCAGCCCCCTCCCAGGGCAGGGCACTGGCATGCAAGAGTCACACACCACCCTGCCTGGGCCCTACATGGCAAGACCTGGCTGATACGCAGCCAAGAGGGTGGGAGTGCCTGGGGGGCTGTCTGTGCTCAGGACTAGCCTACGTGTGCCCCTGGGGTCTCTGGAAACTCTTTAGCCAGTGCTGTTCTCTCAGAGCCCCAAGAAAGGAGTAAATCAGCCCTGGGCAGGATAAGGGGCAGGGATGGTCCCTTCTGGCACCACTGGGAGGGTGTCCCCACACAGAGGAATTAGCTCTGGGTGATGGCACCGTGGGCAGAGTCCAGCCCAGAGCAGCTGATGGTCCAGCTATGCTGGAGCCCTTCACACACAGCGCTGGCAGCCACTAGTGCCATCCCCGGGCAGTGACCACCCCGTGTGCCAAGCCCCTCTCCCTGGTGACTCACTGGACACGCTGACTCAATTCTTGTGCTGGTTTCCAGCAAGAGCTAATGGGAACCAGCTCCATCATGGCACAATAGAGCAGCCAGAAGAGGGGCTGGATGGCACCGGGCAGGACCCCAATGAATCACGACACAGGGAGCAGCCCTGGCAGCAGCATCCAGAGAACTAAGCACCCCGGGAGCTGCCAAGGCAGCTGCTGAGAGCCTCGTGCCACCCCAGGAGGCAGCAGTTACCTGCTGGATCTTGGACCAGTTCTCCTCTGCCGACAGCCCGTTCATGGCCCCCGTGATGGCGAGGAAGCAGCCGAGGAAACAGGGCGCAAAGGCCCCCTGCCAGAGAGGAGCCGTGGCTGTGCCCAGCAGTTGTGGTGCCAGGAGTGGCACAGGGTGAGGGGAGAGGCTGGGAGACATGGGCCCTGAGTTCTTGATGCCCTGGGGTTACTGGGCCTCTGGCTTCTCAGCACAGAGCCACGGGGAGAGACAGGACCATGACAGCGAGGGATGGGACCATCACACGTGCTCTGGAAGGTCCAAACGTGGCCCCTCTGCAGCCCTGTTCACCCCAACCACCCACTGCACTGGGGCTGACCTAGGGCTCTTGGAGGGGGACAGAAACCTGTCCACAGAGACCTGGCTGCTCCCACACCCATTCCCCTGCCCCAGCCCCACAGAAACCCTCAACCCTGGGCACCGACCTGGTCCATGACCATCTTCTTCACGGCCACCACTTTGGTGGTCCCTGGGATGAGCTGATCCAGGATCCTGTACCAGCCGCCCACAACAGGGCCCTGAAGGAACCAGAGATTGAGGGGCAGGTTCCTGCTCTCCTGGGCTGAGAGAGCTTCAGAGCTGGTTACATGGCCCTGTCCTGCCCCCCTCCAGGGCTGTCACCAGCAGCAAGGACAGACCCGGGTGCTGGGGCTGCAGGGACAGGAGCTGCTGGCCCTGTCCCACCCTGCAGGGTCAGGGTGCTTCCCTGTGGGAGGAGCTGGCTCTGTCTGCAGCTGCTGGAGGTGACACTGGGATGGCCCAGCTCACACGTGGGCACCTCGGCCTCACCCTGCCAAAGCTACCCTTCTCCCAGCCCCACGCACCAACCCTGCACCCCAGGCCCCCCTCCCGGCTGCCACCCCAGCCGGGTGCCACTCACCACGAAGCAGCCGCCGATGGGCCGCAA